AACTAAAAACCAAAACAGTTTAATTATCTGAGGCAGTTTTTCAGTGTTTTCACCAAATTTTTTGTTCCTTACAAGACAGGTGGTGAGACTATATTTGTTCTTGTATACTAGTTAATTAATTACACTACTTTACATATGGGAGGGTGCTGTGAGGAAATACATGGTTTGTTGAAAAGAATTGAGGACTGGCAGCCGCTTGTTTTATGGTTATCCTGGCCCTCTGTCCCTCCCTTCTCATGGTGCTTGTGGGACCATGGCTGATCCTGGCCTGAGACAAAAAGACTCCTGTGGTGAAGCAGTTGGTCAAAGAAAAAGTGATGAGGCAGGGTGTGGTGGCTCACACCTCTAATCCTAGCACTTTGGGAGGCTGAGTTGGGCAGATCACGAGCTCAGGAGTTCAAGACAAACCTGGTCAGCATGGTGAAACCCTGTCTTTACTAAAAATACAAAAATTAGCTTGGCATGGTGGGGTGCGCCTGTAGTCCCAGCTACTCTGGAGGCTCAGGCAGGAGAATCACTTGAACCCAGGAGGCAGAGGTGGCAGTAAGCCAAGATAATGCCACTGCACTCTAGCCTGGCAGCAGAGCGAGACTCTTGTCTAAAAGAAAAGAAAAAGAAAAACTGATGTATGAAAAAGAAGGAAAACAACAAGAAGAAAAGAAAAAAAGAGAGCTGAAGATGATGAAAACGATGCCATTAAAAAGCAGGCAGAAATCCTGCAAGAATCCCAGGCGATAAGCTTGATTGACAGCACAGGTTGGAAGCTACATATACCATTCTTAGGCAGTTGTTAGAAAGTGAAAAAGACTTGGAAGAAGCTGAGGAATATAAAGAATACTTAGTACTGGATTCAGTGAAGTTAGAAGCCTGAAACTTTTCTGTATAAGATGTTTTTTGCATTAAATCCTGGGGTCCAGTTTACGTTTAATTATTTTTGACCACTGCTTTGTGTTCAGGTGGGAGAATGTGATTCTTTTTATGTGGTTGTATACACTTCTTTGCCTGATTTAATGTGTCAAATAAATGACAAAACAGATTCTGAGTGGATACTAGAAGGAACAGAAAAGTATGAAGTTTGTTTACATATTTGTATTAAATAATGTTCTCATTAAGGTTATTTGTACACATAAAAGATTTTTACTTACACCTAACCTGTGTATGTGTGTGAGATATTTGACCAATAGGTATTTAGTGTCCTGTTTTGCATAATAATATAAACTCAATATATAGTTGCTTTTTTTTTCCTGGTAGTGGAATTTTTTGTGTGTCTGGGAGGAAAGGTGAGGTGTACCATTCATGCCGTTTTTACTCGTTTATTGGCAGTGACATGGCATTGGCAGGATGAGCAAAAGTATTGAGCCTGAAGCTGTAGAGCAGAGCACAGTGTATATTATAGGGTTATGTTGCCTAGAATGAATCTTTGTAACCATATAATTTATTCAGTCCTGGCCATCTTTTAGAGTGAATGAGAGTTCTAGTAACAATTATACTGATACAACGAACAGGTTGAATTAGGACATGTGGTATTTGTAGCTGTAAACCCTGGTAGTCCCAGATTTAAATGACTTGTTTATTTTTCTAGGGCTTGGTTTTATCTGAAGAGTGGACACAATAGTTGTTTCACAGGGATTGTGAAGATTGACTATATTGAGAAGATTTATGATACATTGAGATAATATGTATGAAAATGTGTAGCACATGGCCTGATAGTCACTGCTTGGTAAATGCTGCCTATCAAGTAAAAACGCATAGTTTGGATGGGGTGTGAGCTTGTCAAAATCATAAAGCACCCCCTTTTCTGTTCTTACTATGCCTATCCTGCCCATTGTTTCATACCTTTATTTAATATAGTGCCTTCAATTTACTGGAATGTTGTGTTAGTACCTTTGTAGAAATAATTGCTGACTTTGCCATATGTAGCATTTATATTTCTAATATAGACACAGATGGTCTTTCCAGTTCAGCTACAGAAAGTGAAGCAAGGAAGGGGGAATATAAGGAAGTACTACTAGATATGGGTTACTAATCATATTGTTATTCATTATTTGGTGCTGTATCCTTGACTCTACACATTTATTTTGTGTCATCAGGAAGGTGGAGAGTGTTAGTATCAGAATTATTTGGGCGTGGTAACAGTCATCTGGGTAGTTATTTCTAAGTTAATCACCAGTTCTTTCTCTTTCCATATCCCTGTTTACTGTGTGTATGATTGGGGGTGGGGGAAGGTCAGGTGTAAGGATTTGAGGGTAGTTAGGAGAAGTTAATAAGCCAGGACAGTAATTTAGAGAACATACTCTAGGCAGTTTAGGTTACCACTCACGATTTAATATATTACTGGGATATGAATGTTAGTGATTTATCTTCTATTGTCCTAAAAATTTTTTCTTAATCTTAAAATTTAAAGGACTAGCCAAACCTCCTCCAGAGTTTGAAGCCTGGTTCAGTCTGCCACATTTACTCAGCTCTTAGTAAACTTTTTTTTTTTTTTAAATAAAGACAGGTTTTCACCATGGTGATCAGGCTGGTCTTGAACTCCCGACCTCAGGTGATTCACCCGCCTTGGCCTCCAAAGTGCTTGGATTACAGGCGTGAGCCACCACGCCCAGCCAGTAAACTTTTAAATTAAAATCATCTCAAGTACTGATTACTAATGGTAGCTGACAGTTATTGATCACTTAAGTGCCAAACTTTTGGATTGTTGATGAAAACCCACACAGCACTGTTTACAAAGTGAAGAAACTGCTCCTTAACGGGTTTTAAGGACTTACCCTAAGGATCACTTAAACAATCCTTATTCTCTGAAAATTTTCTCCTATCATATTTAAGACTTAAAAGGACTCATCAAACAGGGATTAGAGGTGAATCCAGGCTGTGTTGTTAAGCTTTGGCTTTTACCCATTTTGTAGTATTGCCTCCTAGTGCATCAGAGATTGGTAAACCTGGGATTGCTTTTTCTTTTATCAGAGAAAAACTGTAGTAGTGAAGTCCCAGCCTGGTATATATACAGACTGTCAGTTGCATCATTATTTGGAAGCACAAAAGATGGTATGTGAATGAATGTGCTGATGTGGAATTTCTTTCTTCCTCTAGCTCCTTTTTTGTGCCTTATTTTGATACTTGGTTTCAGTGTCCTTTATGCTATTGCTTGATAATAAATAGGTCAGCTCAATGGCACATTCTAGCCATTCATTAATTCACTGAGGCCAAGAGTATGGGGAATGAGACCAAAGATATGATGCCTTCAGTACAGAAAAGGGGAAATATGATATCTGGGAGTACCTTTTAAAGTAAGAAAAGTAGGTTTCCTCACTTGAATATTACTTTTAAATGATTTTATATTGTCATAAATCATTATTGTTCTGGGAGGAATATCTATATCTACATATATCAGAAAGCATTTAGGAAGGAAGAAAGTGATAAATATAATTTTAAAAAATTTCTTTCTAAAATCATATAACACAACTCAGCATAGTGTCTGGCCATACAGTTTGCTGTGTATGAATGAATGGAAAGCCAGGTAGCCATACACTTAAAATATTTAGCTACTTTTAAAGGATCAATTCTTATTTTGCATTTCCCATGTACCAGACAGTTTAAATGCTTTTGTTTTTTAATTCATTTCATCCCTAGTAATCCTAGGAGATAAATGTCACAGTGCCCATTTTAAGATGAGGAAATTGAGGCCACGGAAGTTACTTGCTCTGAATTTTACAACTGTGAATGGCAGAGCTGGGATTCCAACATGGGTAACATGGTTCTAGAGGATGTGATTTGAATTAGTGCATCTCATATTCTGGTGACAAACTGGTTTATGTTTGTTTTTTAATTTTAATTTAATTTTTTAGAGACAGCGTCTTACTGTGTTGCCCAGGCTGGAGTGCAGTGGTACTATCATAGCTCACTGTAGCCTTTGAACTTTTGGGGTCAAGGGATTTTCCTGTTTTGGCCACCTGGGCTCAGGAGATCTTCCTGCTTTGGCCTCCCAAGGTGTTGGGATTACAGGGATGAGCCACTATGCCTGGCCTTTTTAAAAAAATTGTAATATAATACTTTTGTAAAACGATAAACATGAAGACATACATACAAAATGTAAGCCTGAATTTGATTAGTTTCAGCGGATATAAAATTGTCAAATTGCTACAGATTTTCTAAGTGTTTACTTTGCATTTCTATACTTAACCTCACTGTCAACCATGACCAGTTTGTGGACCAGCAGTAGCAGTCTGTAGATAGTCTGTGGACTGTACTTTGAGTTACTGGTTCAAACTATTATTAGTGCCCAGGGGGATTAATGATGATTACGTACTTCAAATATGGCGTGGGGAGATCTGTCTTAACCTGGAAAAAAAATTTTGGAAATTCCTATGAGTAAATAGGTGTTTTTTATGTGTATTTGGGTTGAGAATTGCTGTGAGAAATCTTGAATGTTCAAAACCGTGGAAAAGCACATCATGGTTTTGGAATTTAAGCAATGTAGATTTGAACATGGTGAGGAGAATCTAAAATTTAGTCAGATTTATTGAAAACACCACAGAATGATGTTAGACCTGGGAAATATTTGCCTCTATAAATTAGGATTGTCCCATAAGATTAATATTACACCTGTGCTAGTTTTGCAGAATGTAGTAAAAAGCTACCTGACATTCTTGGCAGCTAATTGTTAGGGTTTTCTCACCCTTGCTTGTCTTTTTTCTTCCCTTTCAACTTTCTTTTGTTGCTATGACAGTTTATTCAGCCCTGGGTTTGCTAAATTTTAATACTAAACATTTTTATTTGAAGCTGATGAACTCAGCAAATCTAAAACCAGGTTTAATACTTTGCTCTTAAATTGGTGATCTTTTGTTTTCTTGCCATTTGGATTTAATCTCTTTGACCTTCTAGTTAATGTCTTTCATTGCCCCCAAGATGAAAGGTACACTTTTAGCCTGACCTGAGGCCTTTAACAGTCTCACTCCAACCTATCATTCTAGCTCTTCCCTTTCATAAACTTTGTCTTTCAGCCACACTGGTTACTATCTGGAGGAACACAGCACCATCCATGGCCTCACTCTTACACTCTGTTCTACTCACCTAAAGTATGTTACACAATGCTTTTTCAAGGGAAGATTGTCTATTTTAGTTTAAAAATGTGTTCGATTACTTTGAGTTAGCCATAATCTGCTAAATTAGCGTTTACTTTTTTGTTCAGGTAGTTTATAAACCTAGAAATATTGGTCATTTAATTTTTTTTACTTTTTTTTTTTTTTAATTCCCCAATAGAACCTGAGGTTGGTCATTTAGGATGTATTTTCCAGTGAAATTTTCTCACTGAGAGAACACCAGCCTGAGAGAGCAGAGAGGGGAATATGGTAGGACTTTGCAGTATTTTTATTTTATTTTATTTTTGAGATGGAAGTCTTGCTCTTGTCCCCTAGGCTGGAGTGCAATGGCTTGATCTTGGCTCACTGCAACCTTTGCCTCCCGGGTTCAAGCGATTCTCCTGCCTCAGCCTCCCGAGTAGCTGGGATTACAGTTGCCTGCCACCATGCCTGGCTAATGTTTTTATTTTTAGTAGAGATGGGGTTTCAGCAGGTTCGCCACTCTGGTCTTGATCTCCTAACCTCAAGTCATCCACCCACCTCAGCCTCCCAAAGTACTGGGATTACAGGCGTGAGCAAAAGTATTGGACCTCCGAAAGTACTGGGATTACAGGTGTGAGCCACCTCGCCCAGCCGAGTTTTGTTATTAAATTGAATGTAAACTTAAAACTTTTTAAGTGTCTATAGGAAGCAACCTTAAAAATAAGATTATACATCTTAAAATAGAACTTGTTTCTGGAAGTATTTTTTAGTTCCCAAATAGATGATATGAAAAGATGGCTGTGGCCATTAAAAATTCTTATGGTATTATAGAGCATTTGTTTCATAATCAATCTATATAATTAAAAGTGAAGATTAGAGAGTTTAAATTAGTATACTTATTGATTTGTACATACACACATTTAAAAATGTATAGCTTTTTTTTTGTTTAAAAATGTGTAGCTTTTTAAAGTTGTTGGAAAAGTACAAAATAATGTGTTCTTAATATGAAGACTATAGTATCAATTACTTAAAATGGGACTTCTAATTCAAAATAACACTTTTAAAATTTTAGGAACTGAATGTTTTTCCTGAGTGATTATCTACTTTTAGTTTCTGTATGTCCAAAGATTTGATTACCATGTTAGTATTCCATCATTTCCTCAAGAATGAAAAGAATGGAATAATAGAAAAGAAGAGAAAGAACTAAATTAGTTTTAAAATGATGTTTTGGACTCTATGAAACTTGTAATTAATCATATTGTAATTCACTATTTATGTGCTGCTGAGGTAAAAGGTTTAAATAAGTGTTGCAAAAGTATGGTTTATAGTGAGGATTTTGAGCTTATGAGTAAATTTAAGAGAATTTAGCTATCTACTCTCAGGTCTTTTGGATAATAAATATTTGACTACATATCTTGTTGTGTTAACATATATCTCTAACTTTTGTTTGCTGCTTCAGTAAATCTGATATCCAGACACTTGTTGCATTGCCCCTTTTTTTTTGTATCAGTCTTTGTCCTAATGCCTTTCTATGGATGTCTTGTTCTGGTGACAACAATTTATTGTAGTGTGAAGAGCTACATGGAAGAATGTGGTGAACACCTATTTTAAATTACTATTCTTCTTTTCTTACTGATATTTCTAGATGACAATGTTAATTATGCCTAGCCTAAAAGAAGATTTAAGTTCAAACCAATGTCCATCATCTTAGAGTCCATTGAAAATGTTAAGTTGCCGAACTTTTAGGTTACCATAGGGTAAACAGTATGCCATGAAGGCAAGACTGGCATATCATTGGCTTGATCACTTTACAAAGCTTATTTTGTCATCATAATATAGTTTTGTTTGTTTCTTTGACAGGGTCTTGCTGTGTTGCCCAGGCTGGTATCAAACTTCTGGGCTCAAGCAATCCTCCTATTTCAGTCTCCTGAGTAGCTGAGATTATAGGCATGCACCACAGTGCTCAGTGATAAGTTATTACACTCTTGAAACTTTAGTTTCAATCCTCTATCCATCCTGATATCACCTTCAATACCATATACAGTATCTTAATGAGATGGTATGTTAAGAAAGATAGCAGATTTTCCTAACTTTGTTGCATAATCTGTGACAGTCTTCCTGCTATTAAAAAAAAAGTATAAGTGGAAGGATAACCATAGATACTATTATATTTTCCAGTTTGAGAAACCCTTTGCTCTTAATGAAGAGATACAAGAATAGAGAATGGTTCTTTAGAGGTTGGTCTATGGTCTGTTTAATGAAGCAATCTGCTCTAATTACTTCTTCTTAAAAAATATTATCAGCATGTCAGTTCAGGTTTAATTAGAATATTCCTATCATAGGTGTGTTAAGAAATTTAAAATAATGTTTTATATTTTATACTAGGAAACCACCCCTACTCCTAATCCCCCGGCTACAGAAGAGGAAAAACCAGAATCTAATCAGGAGGTCGCTAATCCAGAACACTATATTAAACATCCTCTGCAGAACAGGTAAGCTTTCTGACACCTAGGTTTTCTGAGTTAGGCCACAGGTAAGGGAAAGTTAGATTATGAGGCTAGTTTTAGATATGCTAAGGTTGAGGGTTCTATTTTTCGCTTGGATGATCCATGACTAGCAGACAGTTTTATGTGTGAGTCTTGAGCTCAAAACAAACTAGGTGAGAGATTAGTTTGAAATTCTTCAGTATATTGGACGTAATAGAAGCCACATTATTAAGTAAGTTCCTTTAAGGAGAAGTGAACTTTACTCAGGACAAAGACCTGGGATACTAGCATCATATAGGGGGCTTTTGTTGAAGAAGAATGCCTATGAAGGATGGATATGCAAACTAAGAGTGGTGGTCGCTGGATATGGTGGCTCACACCTGTAATCCCAGCACTTTGGGAAGCCAAGGCAGGTGGATCACCTGAGGGTTGGGAGTTTGAGACGAGCTTGGCTAACATGGTGAAATGTCTTCTCTACTAAAAGTACAAAAATTAGCTGGGCATGGTGCCGGGTGCTTGTAATCCCAGCTACTTGGGAGGCTGAGACGAGATAATTGCTTGAACCCAGGAGGCGGAGGTTGCAGTGAGTTGAGCTCATGCCACTGCACTCCAGCCTGGGCAATAAGAGTGAAACTCTGTCTCAAAAAAAAAAAAGAAAAAAAAAAAGACAGTGGTGGCATGGAAACCAAGAAGGTGGTTTGTTAGTGCTAAGGTTAGGGTGGTTAACAGCACCCTAAAAAGGCCAAATAAAGCAAAGTGTCAAAATATCCATTGGATTGAACACTTAAAAAAAAGTCCCTATTGACTTAGGAAAAAGTTTTTTTAATAGAGTATAAGTTCCATAGAATGGTTCCATAAAACATAGAAAAAGAGATTAGTTTGAGGAGTGAGTAGGAGATATACAGATGTACAGAATAAGAAAAGTTAAAGTTAGACTGAGAATGAGAAATGAGAGCCAGGGAATGTGGAGTTTGAAGGCTGATTGGTTTGTAATTGAGAAAGAAAGGAGAGGAAAAAGGGAAAGATTAAAATTAGTTAAATTTCATAGTTAACAGTGTAGTAGGAAATTGAGTATTAGTTCATTATATGGTTTTTCCCAACTCTTCCCACTCTTTCCCAGTAGGTTTGTTTTTTACTTATTTTCTGGGTTATATACTTATTTTCTGGGTTATATAATGAGAATTAACTTGTGGGAAGAAAATGGCAGCTTGGAAACATTGTAACAATCTAGAGGAAAGTAAATTGGAATTAACTTCTGAGGTTTTTAAAGTATTTCAGTTCCTTTCCTTTGCCTTTTTTTCTTTTTATTTACTTTTTGTTAGGGCAAACCATTCACTCTGTACTTAAAAGAGTCCACAAGTCTATTTATTATATAGTTTATTTTATTAAAAAATTTTTTATGATCTTAATTTTTAAAAAACGTTTCCTTTATTCATCATGGAAGACCTATTGAAATAAATAGTTCAAATATACTGTTTGTAGTTTTCTCATAGGAGAACCTTTGGTTCACCATATCCTCCAGTGAGGAACAAATCAGTTTTTTAGACAGTGGAGATTGTCAGCTAGTGGGGACATCAGAAGTCAGTCTATGAAGGATAAAATCCTCAGGAAAGCAATGTACCACATGTGTTAGGTTGAAGAATTCATTAGTGGCAGTTTTATATAGTTTAACCTAATAGTAGCACCAAAACTTTACTTTTTTCCCCATCTTTTCAGTGATATAAAACAAACTTTTATATCTTCTAGCTGTCTGTGAGCCCAGTTCTTGGTGTCATTTTTATTGGAGAAGTAAACAAGGCGTATATCCCTCACAGCTTGAATGAAAGTTAGGAAGGGATTCCTAAGTGTCCTCATCAGTTTAAAAAAAAAAAAAATTTATATCCTAAAATGAAGTCTCTGGGGACTTCAGTTTCTCTACAAATTCTATTTTTTATGTAAAATAGCAAATATCCTTTGGAAAAATACCATGTTTTATGGCTTAAATTTTGGCAGTTTTCTCATTATTTACTTCTCACATTTTACTTTTCTCCACTCTCCAGAGTAGTTGATGTTAAATTTGGTTTATATTCTTCCAGAAGTATTAAATGAACATGTATATGCTTTTTAATATAAATGTCCATACAATTGACTTTTTTGTTTGTATGTGCAGATTTTACCTCATTGTTTTAAACCACTCTCTTGTATAATATTAATATACAGCCACGTATTTTATTAGGCTTACGTTAATGACTGTATAGATTTTTCTGTTTACACACAATGCTATAATTTACATCCTTATATACTTGTGCACTTGTGTGAATTTCAGATCTCTTAGAACAGAGATTACCCTTTAACAACTTTTGCGTAGAAACTGCCACCTTATTCTGTTTTATTGGCTTAGACTTCATAGTTTGAGAGTTCCTGGTTTCTACATCCTTGCCAACTGCTGTTATCAGTCTTTTAAGTTGTTACCAATCAGGTCGGTCCTAGTCTAATTTGGGAAAACAAAATTTTAAAATTTAAGTTTTAAAATATTTTCATATTGTATTGGTGATTTGTGGCTTTTATCTAAGGACAGATTGTTTGGTTCTTCTGTTTTTTTCTTTTGGATTATCTTTTTTCCCCCTACTTTCAAGCTAAGAAGTTATGGATAAACTTTTCAAGTTTATTTCCAAGCATTTTATATTAGAGTCCTAGCTCACCCAAGGAAGGAAAGCTGGAGGAATATTAAGTCAGAAACAAGTTGTCTAAATCATTTTTCTTCTAACATTGTCTGTGGAATTATGTGGTGTTTTTGTTTTGTTTTTAAGAGATCTTTAATTTTCATGTAGGCAAATACTGCTTTTCCTTGGTAGCTTCTGGGTTTCATATCAGTTTTAGGAAAACTTCATCACACAATTAAACTTTTTTTGTTTAAACTAACCTTTTTGTTTTCAAACTTTTTAGTAGTTGCATAGTAGTCACTGGCACGGATGTATATTTTATTTAAATCAGCAGTTCTCAAGTATTTGGTCTCACAATCTCTTTACACTTAAAAATTATTGAGGACTCCACATAGTTTTATGTGAGTTTTTATCTATTGCTGTTTACTATATTTTTATGTAAATAATGCTAAGATGTTATTTTTCACATTTAAAAACGAATGTATTGGACAGGTGTGGTGGCTCACGCCTGTAATCCCAGCACTTTGGGAGACTGAGGAGGGAGGATCACGAAGTCAAGAGATCAAGACCATCCTGGCCAACATAGTGAAACTCCATGTACTAAAGTCTCGAAAAAATAAAAGAATATATAATTTCACCTGAAAAACTTGAGAAATGTAAAATTAATATTTGTTTAGAAAATTCATCACATTAACATAAATAACATTTTATGATGAAAATATTGTTTGAAATAAAAAATATATAATGGGAAGAATAGCATTTTTGCACTGTTTAAGTTCCTGACTTAATAGAAGTCAACTAGATTTTCATAGCTGTTTTGCATTCAGTCTGTGAAGTTAAGATGTTTCATTGGAAGTATAAGAAGTTGGAAAAGGGAGGATAGTTTTTAAAAATAATTGTTGAGCTGGGTGTGGTGGCTCACATCTATAATCTCAGCACGTTGGGAGGCCGAGGCAGGCAGATCACCTAAGGTCCGGAGTTTGAGACCAGCCTGGCCAACATGGTGAAACCCTGTCTTTTCTACTAAAAGTACAGAAGTTAGCTGGGTGTGGTGGCATGTGCCTGTAATCCCAGCTGCTCGGGAGGCTGAGGCAGGAGAATTACTTTAACCTGAGAGGTGTAGGTTGCAGTGAGCCAAGACTGTGCCATTGCACTCCAGCCTGGGCAACAGAGTGTGAGATTCCATCTCAAAAAAGAAAACCGTTGATACTCTCCTTAAATACTGCTAGGTTTCTTCCCCACAACACACCCCACCCCCTGTTTTTTTTTTTTTTTTTTTTTTTTTTTTTTGAGATGGAGTTTTGCTCTTGTTGCCCAGGCTGGAGTACAATGGCATGATCTCAGCTCACTGCAACCTCCCCCTTCTGAGTTCAAGTGATTCTCCAGCCTCAGCCTCCCAAGTATCTACAATTATAGGTGTGATCCACCACGCCCAGCTGATTTTTAGTAGACATGGGATTTCACCATGTTGGCCAGGCTAGTCTCGAACAAACTGACCTCAGGTGATCCACCCGGTGCAGCCTCCCAAAGTTCTGGGATTACAGGCATGAGCTGCCAGCTCCCCTTTTTTCCCCTAGAATACATGCTCAGAGAGATACTAGGTTTCTTAGAGGTTAGTCGCAATGTAGAATCTAAAATCCAAGAATTTTTTTTCTACTTTGTCACATTAAAATCCATTGGTTTGTCTCACATCTGGAATGGATCTCTCTTATCTATGTAAGATTTTTTAACATCATACATTTCTTATTTGGAAAATATTGGTTCAGTAAGTTATGCAGATCTTCCAAATGTTGACACATTTTTTTTATATAGCATCAAGCAATAATAATTCCTTAATATTACCTCTAAACTTATTAAGTATCTGATTTTTAGGAAGTTGTCAAGCTTACAGTTGGCAGATGAAATCTTTCAGAATTCTGATTTTTCTACTGAACGCTCAAATTTTAAGCAACAGTCTTAAATTCAGACAATTGCGAAGATACTATGTTTTGTTGCACTGTACTAGAAGTAGTTTTTGTGCAGATTATAAGAAAAATATGGAAATAGATTGAAATTTAATAAAATGGGTCATGTTTATTGCCTCATCAAAGGCATTCTTTTTTTTTTTTTTGAGATGGAGTTTCACTTCGTTGCCCAGGCTGGAGGCGTGATCTTGGCTCACTGCAACCTCTGCCTCCCGGGTTCAAGTGATTCTCATGTGTCAGCCTCCCAAGTAGCTGGGATTACAGGCACCTTCCACCACACTCAGCTAATTTTTGTATTTTTAGTAGAGATAGGGTGTCACCATGTTGGCCAGTCTGGTCTCGAACTCTTGACCTCAGGTGATCTGCCCACTTCAGCCTCCCAAAGTGCTGGGATTACAGT